CCAGAAATTTTTTGGGGAAAAATAGACAAAGTGGTAGGAGGTTGGAAAAATCTAGGGAAGAGGTAACATGGGGAGGGGGGTCGTACTTGAAGATGGAATTAGGGGGGGTCGTATTTTTCAGGAAATGATCACAACGCAATGGCGTGCCCAGTGGCTTACCAGCTCACTGAAAGCTATTGAAAGACCTGTAAAGGACGAACTGTTGAAGTGGGTTACCAAGCTGCACCTCGTCCCTGTGGAGCAGCACGGCTTCATCCCCGGAGCATCTACTTGCACCCAGTTACTTGAGTGTTCACACACCTGGATTGAAGCGTTAAATCAAGGCAAAAATGTCGACATTGTATATTTTGACCTGAGCAAGGCTTTCGATAAAGTCAATCATTATAAGCTGCTAGCCAAGCTTGAGAGCATTGGAGTCAGAAACACGCGTACTATTGGTTCAAATCATATTTAACCGGCTGGAGGATGAATGTTCGCGTGGGCGACTACTTATCAACCTCTAGAGAATGCCCGTCTGGCGTCCCCCAGGGGGAATTCTTTCACCTCTCCTCTTCCTCATATACACTCATGACCTGCTCGGATCCCTCATTACAGATAGCAGACTAATGGTTGCCGGTTTCGCGGACGATATCAAAGTTGCGGGAATTTATAGTGAAGAAGATAGGCTAGTTGTCCAGCGAGCGATGAATAGCTCTGTTGACAAGATGCTCGCGTGGGCCCACAACTGGGACCTAGCAATAAACCCAAGTAAAACTGTAGCATTTTCACTTGGATCCTCTCCTCTTGAAATCTGTTTCCCGGATAAGACACGCATTAGGCACAGTGATGAAATTAAGGATTTGGGAGTCAGGCTTTCCAAAAATTTAAGCTGGACCACACATGTCGAGGAAGTTAGCAACAGAGCCCTGAGTTTGGTTTACCACCTTTTCAGGAATATCCATTGCTCTGACGTTAAGCTATGGATAAGACTCTACAAGTCTTATATCCTTCCTATTGTAGAGTATTGTAGTCCCATCTGGAGCCCTGTGCTGGTCAAAGATATCAAAAACTTGAGAAAGTGCAGAAAACGTTCACCAGAATTCTGTATTATAAGGCTTTTCCCAGTGCAAGCTACCCTAGAACCATTCCTTCCTATAGTGCGAGACTTCATGAACTCAATTTGAAAAGTCTTTTCTATAGAAGAATATCTTCAGACTTAGTTTTTGCTTTTAAGATCCTCAGAGGCGAGACGCGTCTTGGTCCTTCGAAGTTTTGGACTTTCCGTCCCTCCAGTGGTCGTCGAGGATGTCTTTTGGCGTTTGGGCACAAAATGGGAAAGTTCCACAGGCAGCTGCGACATAACAGCTTCATTTTGCGGACTACTCGTTGGCTCTCAAACCTGCCTCCCTCTCTTTCCTTTTGTAAAGACTCCTCCATTTCAAAAGAGAGCTGAATAAGATCAATGTATTGGAAGCCCTACAGTAAACGCGTTTACACTTCGAATGCTTGTGAAGATACTCCTTTTTTCGGTTCCTCCTGGTTAAGAGTGGCATCATGGGAAAGAAGCCGAAATCAGATCTACACAGGTTGTCCAGAAACATCAAATGCGGGCGAACTCGTCATAGCATCGACTCATGGGTTACTTACTAAGGCTGTGGTAGGGAATGATTGACAGCACATTCGCGCTTTTGCCTGTTTTGTCGGTTCCACGTGGGCAGCCGGCATATCCGTGTTCTCGAAGTTCCGGCAAAATCCCATGACCCCGGATGTGGCGTAAGGACACCATGGCCGGCTGGTGTAGGCGCTAGCGTCAGTGCTCACTAGAAACCCTACCTCTTGGATAACGGCTTAATCCAAAGTCATGCTGTTACTTCGAAACCGCCCCGGGACAGCTCTGTTCTTGTTGTTTCTTCTTTCTAGCTTCATATGCCCACACACATGCCACTCTTCATTTCGAGGAGTTACATATCATAAGGCGCTGTAGCCCTTCTGTCTGAGTTTCGTCTTTTTGGGTCTCCTCTACTTCTAGTGCATCCTCTTACATAGATTTCCAAGGCATGAATGTTTTTGGTCACATGGTAGTTCCTCCTCGCGCTTTCCTTTTTCGTGTGTCTATTTTTATTTCTTTTCTGTTTCCTTTTTACTTTGTTACTTTTTTTAACTCTTTTTTGTTGTTCCCTTAAATTTTTTGTTTCCTGTCATTTCCTTTTTGACTCTAGAATCACTGAGTTCTGTTACTTATCTCCCGCACGGACCGTTGTACTGTTATTGTACGCATAAATAAATAAAATAAATAAATAAGGAGCACACATGACCGATGCGATGCCCACGGTGGGCGGGGCATGAGCCGAAAGTTGGCAGTACAGCGGGAAAAATTCATAATTCGCTTCTGGAGCAGCCCAGAGATGGGGAAAAGTGGAATAATGTTAGCTAAGGGGTTGCCACACTAACTGGGAGAGACACACCTGAAATATGTGGGGCGTACTTGCGATGGGCGGCAATATATGGCGAGTGTTGGGCACGCCTGAAGTGTGTTGAGACCCGCCCACAGTGGGCGGAGCTTGCCCTCAATCGCAGGATACTCATTTCAAAAGTTTGTAGCTCGGTTCCAGAACACTCCAGAGACCGGAAAAAGAGGATTAAGGTCAGCGAGGGCTGGCCGATTGAGAAATGTGGGGCACACATGTTGCGGGCGGAGCCTACTCTGAGGTGGACAGAGCGAGACAAAAAAATCTGTAAAACGGCATCAGATCACTCCAGATATCAGAAAAAAAGTGAGCCAGAGTCAGAGAGCTAGCCGATTGAGAAATGTGGGACACACCTGTTGTGGGCGGAGCCTGCTCCGAGGTGGGCGGAACCAGGCAAAGAAATCTAAAACAGTTTCTGTGCACTCTAAACACCGTCAACATGCGAGCAGAGATGTGCAAGAGCTCAACTGTTGAAGTGAGATAAATACGCCCATCGCGTACACAAAAGGAGGCGCGCCGGCGAGCCGACTGCTTATATTAGGATAATCACTGACCCTGATCACGATTCTAACACTCGTTTCAGCGCCAGCGTCTATGAAGGCGAGTCCACAACGATTCCAATGAGAAAGCCATTGCACCAAACTGGCGATAGGTGGCTCCACAATTAGCATCATACTCGTAAACGTTGTTTCCTGTAAATCAAGTTCCATGAAGAGTTTCCTCAAAATTGAGAGCGTAATACTTGACTAGTAGATTCGTGGAGAATTATAACATA